CCATTGAATGTAAGTAATACTGTTGATGGTTTAGTTTGGTTTCATAAATGCATATTATGGTCGTGTGGTGCGTTCTCATAATTTGTATTTGTTTATCTTTATAGAAAACCACATGGACACACACGTGCCTTTATATGTCTGGAGGAACCTCGAGTAAAGCTCAATTCTGGGCTCAGAATTGAGCTTCTCACTTCAGAGTCTGGACTTCTCTAATTTCACTAACTCACCTAAACATATATATCAGCTGTCCTAACCCGACACCCTGGAGAGTGATTGTTTAACCAGCTTCAGTCTTCATTACAAGTATGATTATAATGTGACGGATAAAGATAGAACATGACCGATTTTTTTATGCAATCCATCAAAATGACGGACAATGGAAATGTCTAGTGCCACCTCTGTTTAGCATATAAATGTTATTAATCATTTGAAACTGCTCTTACAACTGGACATACTATTGCTAGTAACTAGCTGTTTCTGCTGTTTGTGTGACTGTTTCCCTGTTTGAGTCTTAGCACTGTACCCAGCCTGTACTTTGGTATATTGCATGTTTTATCCGATCTAAAACACACAAGATACCAGCCTAAAAGGATGAGATCTTTGCATCAGATCAAAGATTAAAGACAGGTAATCATGAATAGACTAACACTAAAATCACTCTTAGATCATAGAGCTGATTGTATTAAAACTTTCCTTTGGGTGTCTTAGGTTATCTAGAGCCACCGCTGCAGGATTCAGCTGCTTGAAGACATAGTGTCCACCTTGCGCAAACTATTTACTCTCCATTTGTGCATGTATTCATACAGTTATTGCTGCCATTGTCTTTGCATTATTGTTCTATATTTACTACAGAAGGCACAACAGGGTCAGTGCTTCTTTATTATCTTTATTTTTCTTTCCGTCTCTGTCTGTCAGTATGCAAGGCTGCTCATCTTGAGCCTGGTCCTGGTTATACTTGGGGTTTCTACACTTCATGTCAACTTCAAAGTATTTATGTGGCCCTAAACTCTTGAGGTAAGAGTTGTGAATACGTGTTAATAGTGGTTGCACTTCATTTCTACAATATTTGTCAAAGATAAATGTCTCTGCATCTCTACCGGTGTAGTCCAATGGCTGCGTGCGGTCCCCGTTGATGAACATCTTCAGAGTGGGAAAGTTTCCGACCTCAAACTCATCAGCCAGCTCCTTCTCCTCGATGGCATCCACCTTGGCCAATCGCATCCCTGTTTCCTCCTCCTTCAGTTTCTCTGCAGCCTCGGCATAAATCGGCTCAAACTCTTTGCAGTGGCCACACCAGGGAGCATCTTCAGACACACACACACATGCACACACACACACACACACACACACACACACACACACGCACACACACACACACACACACACACACACACACACACACACACACACACACACACACACACACACACACACACACACAAACTTTTAAGAAATACTTTTACTATGCTCTACTTTTTAATTTCACCTGAGTAGTTTTATTATGAAGTGCCACTACTCTTGCTTGAGTAAAATTTCTGGACTCTCTACCCACTGAGTGAAGAACAAACATGTTTTGACCAAAAATATTGTAGACATACACCTGCAGTTTTTGATAAAGTTTCATAAGTTTTTCATTGAAAGACGTTGATTTGCAAAACTTTTCTTTTGCCTGATTTTATTTTTTGTTAGTTGTATGAATTATTGTCATTGTATTCCTTAAGATAACAAAATTTCCGCTTGACTTTATAATTTGGTCTGCTTGATGATGTAATTTTTAAACATTAAAGGATTGAGAGTTTTTTTCAATTTCTCGGTACTTGAGTAGACTATTTACCAAATACTTTTTTACTCTTACTGGGTGGCTACTTTTTACTTTTGCCTGAGTAAAAATATGTTGTGCTACTCTTACTTGAGTACAATTTTTGCTTCTCTGCTCGCCATTTACTGGAACATTGACTGGAAGCATTATCTGTCCTGTTGCCGTTTCCTCAATTCCTAGGGAAATAAGCTGCTGATAGCAGAAGCGGTTGCTGGCCTCAGCCTTATCCTCACTGCTCCTTTTTCCCCTCTGCTGTTGTCCTGCTGAGCTCATGTGTGGGAGCTTTTCAGCAGGACAACAGCTGGACTTGACAGGACGTGTGGGGACATTTCTCCATTTGTCTCATAGTACCTCAGGGGTATGGATATAAAATACCAGAGGAAATCCTCTATCGGTGTGTGATAAAATAATGTAATCCTGCAGCTCGAGGTGATATGTCATGGTTATCGCAACTCCTTTTTTTTTTTTTATTAGCATAAATATTTCAGTTCTTTGCCCTGCGACAGACTGGCGACCTGTCCAGGGTGACCCTGCCTCTCACCCGGAACACAGCTGGAGATAGACACCAGCACCTCCCAACACCATTAGGGATAAGGGTGAATAGAAAGTAGATGGATGGATTTCAGTTCTTTTAAGAAATGCTCATGTTTTATATTTAGATATCCTTTTAATATTTTGAAGCCATTCAGAATTTTTGATCAAAATTCCTTTAAATTAATGTTTTTGCATTAAAAGCAGCACATGTAACATAGGCTTTACCAACTTTCTGTAAAACAGCACACAAACTGCCTGTTTAAACTTATATTTAATAAGAATAGTAATATTATATTTTTACTTACAAAACTCAACCAGTAAAAACTCGTTTTCGCTGAGAGCTCTGTCAAAGTTGTTCATGTGTAGAACCAAAACGTCTTTTTCTTCTTCTATGTTTGTTGTCTCCTTCTTTGGCTTTTTGTCGGTCTCCTCTGAGGTGTCCTTTTGAGTCTCTGCTGACGATGCCTCTGTTGCCTTGTCGGGGTCGTCCTTGGGGTCACTGGCCTGAACGCTGAAGGACCCCAGCAGCAGCAGCAGGCCCAGCAGAGCGATGCATAGCTTGTGTGTTCTCATGTCTGTGTGTGCGCGTGTGTGTGACCTGCTCTGTCACCTCTGCTCAGGTGTGGGGGAAAGAGTCCTACGATTATTTATCTAACATGGAGTGTGTGTGTCAGAATGTTACTGGCCTTCCCTCTTGTCCAATCAGAGGCTGTGCTTTCACAGGACTCGTTGGAGCCTATCACATCATGCCAGGTAAAGATATTGATTTGGATCATAAACAGCAGTAAGCACAGAATTTATGAAATCTCAGCATTTGCATTTTTTCATTTGTTGGCATGTTCTTAATTAATACTTAGCAGATATTTACTTTGGAAGATATTTTATTGAATAACTACTTATTGGTGCTTATCTAAACCTCATTTACCTAAAATGGCTCAATGATAAAGGTGGGAGAAAAGTTAGCCTTTTCTTTAACATCTATTATATTTAGAGTTTAAACAATGTGTTGGATCTGGATGCAGAAGAAATAATGGCAGGAACAATAAGTTCAGGTGGAGTTTTTGTGTACAGTACATTATGAAAGGTATTCCCATCGATTTCTCTGTTATACATTTTGCTTTTATCTACTTCAACATAGGCCATACATTTTATTGGAATGTTATGTGGGACCTCCAATACATCAGTAAATTTAACAGGTGTGACCGATAGAGTGACAGGAAGAGACCATAACCATAAACCTTTTGGTCTATATGAAAAGTGTAGACAGGGATGAAAACTAACATGTAGTCCAAACCTGAATCTAAATAAGACTCCAGAGACATCAAGAAATATTTCAGCCTCTACATGTGCAAATCTGGGAATGACATAAATCAACAAAAACCTTGAAATCCAGATTAGTTCTGTGAATACATACTTTTGAAAAGTAATGTGTGTATTGTATAGACACAGTCCATCCACTCTCTGAAGTGGCTTTGTTGGTCGTTAATTGCTTCAAAATCTCTGGAAATGGAATAAAAACAAGTGAACAAATAGTCAAGGTTCAAAGGAAAATAGAAAAAAAATATAGAAACTAAAGAAAAAGTGATCAGGATCACTATGATTGAGTGAAAGTCTCAAATGGAGGTTCTGCAGAAATCAAGACTTGTGTACTGTACTGTATTAATGAACCTCTATCCATTTGAGTGCATGTTACCCTTTAATGGATAAAGCAATAGATGTTCAGCAGTTCAACTGCTTCACCAGAACACTTTACTGGTGCAGATGCAACACCAGCACTGTTGATCTCGCACACTACAGCACTGTGCTCTGAAGGTGAAGAGCTGAAGCTTAAACCCACTGGTAGAATGCCTACAAATGCTGGTTTGTTGCGTGAAATGCACACTTTATTTGGCCTATATATGAGTATATTTGATGCATGTTATCTTGGACAATGAGTCTAATCCATGCTGGCCGGATACAGGAGCACCTTCAGCCAGACTCATTTTACCAAAGTGAACCACAGAGCAACACAGAAAATCATTTCTGCCAGTAGTCATTAGATTTTACAAAGTCTAAGTTATTTAAATGTAATTTACTCTGCACTCATTTGTAGGTTATTGATAGATGAACATGTTTCCATGTGCATGCTTGTTATTCATTTATTTACATTCAGTCATATTTAATGATCTCATTACACTTAGGTGATGAGAACTATAAACTATAATTTATAATATTATGCTTATATTTATATTATTAATACTTAATACCTTAGATGGAGTAACTCGTCAACGAATAAGCAATTTTCCTTTGGGATCAATAAAGTATCTTCTATTGTATTCTGAAAGAACCATGCTAAGTATAAAAATTAATATCAATATGGATCTTCATTTTCATATCACTGCATCCATAATGCAATCTGCTGAATGAAATGTGCTCCAAAAGCTAACCAGTTTTTGAAATAACTAGAAAAAGAAAGAAACCTTTCCCTCAAAATTAAAGCATGGTTTCTACAGCAGCTAATCTAAACATTCTTGAAGCGTTTCCTTGTCAGAGTACATTCAGAACCACAAGAAGAAGAAAACAACCTGCTTTGTTCCTGTTTATTTCTGTTTGTTGAACAGCTGCAGAGGTCAGAACCCATGTTGGTTTCAGGCAGCTACTGTGTGTTTCATTCTGCATGTGTGTCATCCATCAGTGTTTGAGAGAACTCTAGGTGTGGGTCCCAGTAGGCCAGCAGGTCACTGAAGTCTGGCTCCGTGCCGGTCATGCCGTGCTGCATACTGGGACCCAGTGGGTTGTAATGTGTGTGTCTGCCACTGTCGGTCTGTCCAGGTGAGCTGCTGCTCGTGTGTGTGATGGCAGGTGTGCTGCTGAATCTGACCAGAGGGCAGCGAGAAACTGGTTCAGTCCAGAAACTTAGTGGGAGGTGCCTGTTGATCATTGGCTGGACCCTGAGTCGACTCAGGCCCTTGTGGTCGAACAGGTCAGCCAGGGGCCCTAAACCGCTGCGTCTTGGGTTGTCATCTGGAGCCACCCCACCGTTGGCTTGCTCCTCCGGAGTCCCCGCACCTGCGATCCTCAGCAGGTCATCATAATAACGCAGCCGGCCGCTGCTCACCACAGACACAGAGTCGTCATAGATGTCACAAGCTTCTCGATCCACAGAGGAACGGCCGAAATACCGCTGGACGTCATGACTGATGAGGTCAGCGAACCTCAGCAACTGACTGGTCACATCCAGAACATTCTGAGCAGGATTCAGAATGAACTGATCCAAGCATTCTTCTTCATCCTCCTCCTCCTCTTCATCTTGATCTTCTTCATCTTCTCGTTCCTGTGGCTTCTCCCTCATCTGACAACCCTCATCCTTCTTGCATGGAGAGTGCAAGAAAGTGTGGAAGTAGGCAGGAGTCGAGGCCTGAATGTGGAAATTCCTGATGACTCCTGTGGCCATGTCACCTCCAGACCTGTAGAGGTAAAAAAAAAATAGTAAGAAAAGAAAAAGTACAAGGATATAGGAGGCATAAAACACGGCAATGGGTGAAAAAGTTTCCCTACCTTGGAGCTGGATTCGGCTGCGTTCAGTGAGTGTGCTGGAGGAGAGGGTCGGGGTCCTGTGTGTGAGCTGATGAGTGACAGTGATCGTTGTTTTTATACCGCAGCTGACATGTGTCTCCTGTCGAACCAGGGCACCTTCCTAAAACAAATATTTGCGTGCCGGATCGGTGAGACGCGCTCCGTTTACTCTATCACCGGGCAACCTGGGAGGAGATCCAAGCCTAATGGAGGCTCTGCTAAGTGACCATGGAGAGTTTTTACACACGTGTACACAAGCTCATCATTGCTTTTTCCGTTCCTGTTATCAGGCTCGTTAAAAGATAAAAGAGCGTGAAATCGAATCACCCGCTGTATTGATTTCTAAACGGGTCAAGAGGAGGCTGGGGGTGGTCACTGTGTTCACCCAGGCCCTCGTCTTCCCTGGACACCACACTGTGACACTACACAGCCTGCTCAGACTCAGACTTCCTGAAACGTAGCATTCCACCATACTTTTTGCATGCAAACTCAATTTCTTGTGTTTCTAACCTTTTCTGGCCTTACTGGAAGTAAATAAGGATTACAAGACTGCATGTAAATCTAAAAATTAAGCTTTTAAGTTAGAAACAACCTGCAGAGGAACTTGGCCTTGTAGTGAAGCAGTAATTAGTTTCCACTTGTAGTTTAATCCTGACTCATCAAATAAAGCAGTGAAAGAACAAGGTGGACAACTTCCTGAAGGAGCTGAAACATCTAATGCAGGGGTGCTCAAGTCCAGTCCTGGAGAGCTACCGTCCTGCAACTTTTAGTTGCAGCTTTACTCCAGTAGACCAGGCTCAGCTATGAACAGGCCTGGTAACGAGTCATTCATTTGATTCAGGTGTGTTGGAGCAGGGATGCATCTGATAGTTGCAGGATGGTAGCTCATGAGGACTGGACTTGAGCACCCCTGTACTAATGATTTTTGCAAGTTATCTCAGCTTTCTTTTTCCTCCCTACTCTTCTGAGAGAAGTGTGTGCGTGTGTGTGTGTGGGGGTGTGTGTGTGTGTCGGTGTGTGCGTGTGTGTGTGTGTGTGTGTCGGTGTGTGTGTGTGTCGGTGTGTGCGTGTGTGTGTGTGTGTGGGTGTGTATGTGCTAGTGTTATCAGGATATCCAGACTCCTCTGGTCTTGCCTGTCATCAGTATCCAGGATTCAGTGTTGATTTTAGGACTAAAGATCAATAGCTGCAATATGTCAGCACTTGAGAGCCAAACAAAGAATTACACACCTTTTTTGACACACAAGCACCTAAACACATATGGACACATTCAAAAAACGGTTAGATTTGGGTTTTACTTCATGCTTACAAGAAACAAATAACATATTTTAAGACAAAGGTTGATTTATCCATTCTTTGCTGTACAAGGTGTCATTTTTGTATATATACACATTAATATGCAAGAGACATGAGCCATATTTCTTTGTTTGAAATATGACTCACCATTTTATAGCTAAAGTCACAACCCTTCAGCTATAAACTTGTAATATCTAGCACAAAGCTTCCTTTGTGCTAGATATTACAAGTTGATATTACAATATGATACTGCAGAAAATGTGAAATTTTTCAGATAATGAAACACTTAAGCTGTAGAAATAATAAAAAAAAAAATTAAAGTCACACAGCGGCATGATGCGGCAGCCAAGCGCTGCTCCGGCCTACATGGAAATATTAAAATTATAAATTATTATAATGCATGTAAAAATCTTGATTGTAAGATTTAAGAAAATGGCTGGAAAATTACATAGAAGAGAATTATGGTGCAGTGATTTTAATAGTCGTTGGGGTAGCAAGAAGACGGACCAAAATGGCAACATAATTAAAGAAATAATGGATGAAAGGTCATTAGTTTGTCTTAACAAACTAATGTTAAGACAAACTAACATTTGTTTTAACATTAGTTAAGTAAATATACATAAAAGTACAATGTATATGTTCATGTGAAACAGGGAATCTACAATAGAGAGTGATCACTTTCCAGTGAGTACTATAATTAATAATTATAGAACGAGATGTCATAATCACAAAATGGTGTTTTAATAAAGCTGATTGGCAAAAATTTTAAATAAATTGTGAGGAAAGCAGACATTTGCTTACATTAAAAGGCAATATAGAAGAATGTACAAGCCAGATAACAAAACATATTTTAAATGCTGCAAATTCAAGCATACCAAAAATAATAATAAAAGGGAAGAAAAAAGTAGTTCCTTGGTGGAATGATGAATGTACTAGAGCGGTTAAAGATTGTAACAGCGCATTTAAAATTCTGCAGAAAAATTTAACAATCGAAACTCTTATTGATTATGAAAAGAAAAGAGCAGTGGCTCGTAAAACTGTTAAGGAAGTTAAAAAGAAAACATGGAGAAAATATTGTTCCTCAATAGGATCAGAAATAAAATTACAGAATGTTTGGTCAATGTTTAGGAAAATGATTGGGAAAAGCAGTGATGTTAAAACACCAGCCTTAGTTAGAGATCAGGAAATGGTGTAAAATGAAGATAAGGCAGATTTGTTGGGTGACTCATTTGCTGCAGTGCATTCATCGACAACACAAGATTCAAAAACTTGATAAGCATAAAAATATATTGGAAAAAAGTCAAACATATATTTCAACATTAGACATGAATATAACCATGAAAGAAATTAAAACAGTATTAACCCTCTTCAGACGGTTGATACTGTTTTAGATTTGCAACAGCTAGGTGCTACTTAGCTAGTCTTTGCAAGTAATTTGAGCCTGAGAGGGTTAAAAGGGACAGGATCTTCAGCTCCCGGGGAGGATCAGCTATGCTATGCTATGTTCAAACAGATTCCTGAAGTAACATTAGAATTAATATTATAACTGTTTAATAAAATATGGGAAGAAGGTTTAATACCAAATAGCTGGAAAAGGGCAATAATTCTACTGTTTAATAAACCAGGGAAAGATCCTATAAATCCAAATAATTACAGACCAATAGCAATAACTTCACATTTAAGTAAGTGGATGGAGAAAATAATAGTTAATAGATTAGAATTTACTCTTGATCATAAGAAATTAATTAATGAAAATCAGTGTGGATTTAGGAAAGGGAGATCAACAATGGATGCAATAACTAGAGTCAATAATGATATAGAGAAAGTTTTAAAAATGAAAGAGATTATGATTGTAATATTTTTTGACATAGAAAAAGCTTATGATTCATTATGGAGAGAAGGTCTACTTATAAAAATTAAGCAGATGGGAATAGGTGGCAAGATGTTTAATTGGATAGCAATTTTTTTGTCAGATAGGAAAATAAAAGTGAAGATTGGAAATGATTACTCAAAAGAATTTAACATTGAAAATGGAATTCCACAAGGTAGTGCAATTATCCCAATACTATTTAATATCATGATAAATGATATCTTTTCTGAAACAGAAGAATGTATAAAATCTGCATTATATGCTGATGACGGGGTTATATGGATGAGAGGAAAGAATATAAAACGTGGTAGGAAATTTTAAGAAAGCAATTAAACGACACCTATTAATGCCCTTCTAATAGAGACTGGAGAGAAATAAGAAGAATAAAATTAGCTCTGACATACTGGATGAAAATAAGAAGTACTAAGGATGGAAATGTAAATTCAACAATATTAAAATGTTGTTGGGAATACTCAAAGTTCCAGAGTAATGGATTTGGATGGATCAAACAAATGGAAATATAAATAGATAAAGAAATAGCTCAATTTAATCCAATTAGTGTTAGCCCTCCATGGATTTTTCTGGAGGTAAAAGTGGACATAAAAGTCCTTAAAATGAAACATGATTGGAATTTAAATGAAATAGGGGTAAAGTCTGACGTATATTTAAGAAACTCATAATTATATTAAAATATATTCAGATGGTTGTAAGAATTTAAAATAACGTGTGGGAATAGGTATATATATATCTGAGTTTAAACTTGACATTTCTAAAAGATTATCTGATCAACTAACTGTATTCTCGGCAGAAATGGTGGCAGTTATTATCAGCTTACAGTGAGTAGAGGAGGTTCGTCCAGACAGATCAACAGTCATTTGCACAGATTCCAAAGCAGCAATAGAAAGTATTCAGGGAGAAGGAAACAACAGGAAAGATCTAGTACTTGAAATTCAACAGAGCTTATTTAGATTATATAGAGGTGGCATTGATATTTGGTTCTGTTGGGTGCAGCACATGAAGGTGTAAAAGGCAATGAAAGGGCAGATAAATCAGCAAAAAGGGCTTTAGATCAGGCAATAACGATTAAAATACCTATTGGGAAAGGGGAAGGGAATAAAGAAATGGAAATATGGCAAAAAAAAGATCGAATGAAAATAAGAAATTATATAAAATACAGAAGTCAATTTTTAGTAGAAATATTAAGGAGAGAAATAGAAGGGAAGAAATAATAATGATTAGATTAACAGTAGGTCCTACATACTTAAATGATACTTTATATTTAATAGGGGAAAAAAATAATGACGTGTGAAAAATGTGGAGAGAAAGAAAACGTAGAACATATGATGGACAGATCAAGAATGGAGTTTGAAAGGAATACTGGGAAATGATGGAAATATAATGGATATTTACATATTGAGGAAAACATTATTTATTTATCTTCAAAATACAAAATTAAAAAATAGAATCTGACTGATTTAAAATACTGTTGCTACACACTTGTGGACAGTAGGTGGCGGTGTACACCTTCAAGTTGCTTGCGATCAGCCATAATAGAAAAGAAGATTTTTTTTTTATTTTTAACAACAGATTTATTATACAATGAATCCAATTAAGACATTACATTCTCAAATTAAGGCACTAATAAATCAATCAATAAATAAATATTTACAATAATAATTTGTTATAAATTAGTTCCTTCTGACCTGAAATGGTGCACAATACATTTTCAAAACCCCACAATTCTAAAATACCCTTCAGATTCCCAGTAGCTCTGTGGAAACAAAACTCCAACCTTAAAACACTGACATGTTAACCTTGATGTTAACCTTCCACAGAGCCACAGCATCGAGTTGAGGTCCAGCCTGCAC